TGTCTAAGTTTAAAAAAGAAAGTTTTTGTCTGCAAAGTTAATAATTAAATATTTTGTAGGAAAAGTGTGACTTTAATACGACATTACATTATTAAAAATCGTATTTTCACTACAGTTTAAAACCACGATAAATTAATAAACACATTTATACATCAATAATGGCCCCCCAGTGGCACAGCAGTATGTCTGTGGACTTACAATGCTAGAAACCGGGTTTCAATACCCGTGGTGGGCAGAGCACAGATAGCCCATTGTGTAGCTTTGTGCATAATTCCAAACAAACAAACATCAATAATGTTTTAACAAAGAGAATTCATCCAGTGTCATTAGGGTTCAGAATCACAAATAAAACAGTTTCAATATATTAGAAAACCACAAATAATATGAGCAAAAATACTGTATTAGTCATCAGTACTTCCTTTCTTGCACAATAATTGACCTAGGCCTCACCCATTCTTTCATTGGGAGAGTAAGACCATTAGATGTGGGAAATGAATCATTATTTTGTTTCGTTAACTCTTAAATGTATGTTTTACATACTAATGAAAGTGAGCTCTTGCTTCCATTTATGAAGAACTTTAATAAAGTACTTTGTTGAAAAACCTGTGGAGGTGTCATTTTAGAATGTGCAAAATCATCATATGCAATTATAAAATAATGCACTGAGACATTTATATCATTTCTCTGAGAGGTAGTTGAGTTCTGAAGAATGTTATCATTTTAAATCTCATCACAAATGGCAGTTATGACATGTGACAGTAGAAGTCCAACTAAAGATAAATAAGACAGAGCTGAAGGCTAAAAAGTATGAAACCCTGTTCAAAGTAACTATTAACCAATTACTGATAATATCAGAAAATATTTCCAAGTAAATCCCTAGTGATTCTCACAATTAGAAAAATGCAACTGATCATCACCCTTCTTTCCTTTCTACACTAAGCCAACTTTACGCTTACTTCTAAATCTTTCCTCCATTGAATCTAATATGAATTTAACTTATTATTTAATCTTTTTTTAGGATGTCCACAAACTCATGAGGCAAGAGAAACCTTTTATAAAACTACACTGACAAACATCAAATAAATGCAAACTATCCAAATGCTTATTTAGTGTTCTGACACTAAATTCCAAAATCTTGCTCACGATAGACATCAAACTGTTTCCCAGATCTTCCAAGATCTCTTCTTAGAAAAAACAACAATCACATCACACTAGCAATATTCCAATCACCACAAATTTCCACTATCAAGAGACTTTACAAAAGATAATAGTTAAATGCCCATTAATATTTTTTCTTAGTCTGTTTCAAAGTCTTTGAATAAATTTTTAGAGTGTCATCATCAAAAGTTTTTGGTTGGTAAACTTCTATGTGAGCATGCTAAATGAAATACTTTAGTGAAGTAATTGCAACTGAAAAAAATATTAAAATTAGATTAAATAGATGTTAAATATCTTCAAAGTACTGGGTACATGATTATTTGTATAATACCTAAATCTATTTGATCAATACATAGAACAGCTCATGGAATGTGATGCTACAAATCATACATTTCCTTCTCAATTGTATTTAAGTGAAGCCACATAGAACAAGAAAGATCTACTAAATATAAAATAGTATTCAAAGTATTGCACATACTCTGTTCACTATTAAATATTGTAAAATATACAATATAAAAGAGCAAGCAAATCTATAAAGCCACTTACAAATATTCAAAAATCTACAAATAATTAACAATTTTAATAATAATCAAATACTTTTCCTGTATGTTCATAATATAAAAATTTAAAAAAGCCTATGTTATGAAACCTGAAACCCATCACTATTCATTCCATTATTTACTCCTTTCAATGATTATATATAATTTGAGTATTAACGGTCTAATTAACTTGACAAAATTAGTAGAATTTGAACATGATAAAAAAAGTAAATTATTGTACACTTTTACAGATGTACTTAAATTTCTTTCAATATTGAAAGAATCAATTTGTTGTGTAAATCTTTACTGACATGCAAACTAATGAAGTATAATAAATGAAAAACAGAGGGCAGGATATGTATATATTCTGCTATTTGTTACTAATGGAAAAAAGTTTATAATTGAAGAAAATATTTCAGCACTAAAGTTATTTTACTGATACATTTGAAATTACAACCCAGTTTCCATCCAGAAAATAGTGCTTAAGCAATACTGCATAATAACAAAATTTCACAACAATTTATTATTATTTTTTGCTGGGCAGCCTGTAAACTATTTAAATGTACAAAAAAAAATAAAAAAAAAATAATTGGGTTAGATATACATGTAACTCAGGGCTCAAAATTAATGATGACTAGCTAGTAACAAGCCAGATGATTCTAGTGTTTTAGCCATTAAACGTCAAGAGTCAATAATCCAAACATGATTACGAATATTCAATCCACTTGTTAACAAAAATGACAATTATAAAAAATGGAAAATACACATGTCCTGTACTTTATTTCTTTATTCAGCACAATATCTTTGTTGTTGTTTTTTCCATACCTATTGTTTCTCTAATATTTAATTCAAATTTCCACTCTACTTGATTTATCAATTTAACATTACTCTCTAATAATCTATTTTCAAGACAATCCAGCATTTCTTCAACTGGAACATTTATGAATAGCAAAACAATGTCAAAAGAGGTTAGTTTGTCTGTTGATTCCAAATTTATCCCAGCGATTTTATCAACAAGAATAGGCAACATAATTAAAAAATATATAGAATGTAGTGTAACATTCTCTCTGCATTATAAACTAAATTATTTTCTCATGGGAATAAAAGAGAGTAGAAGTTGATAAATGTGGGATTTATAAAATTCCTTGTGTCTGTGGTCACAATTACAATGGTCAAACATGCAGAAATTTGAAATTAAGGATCAAGGACCATAAAAATGTGGTAGAAAAATATAAAGTAAATGAGTTGTCCTTAGCATAACATGAGGCAGGCACATTTCATGTTATAGACTGGAGTGATGTTAACATGATAAATCAAGTAGAGTTGAAATTTAAATTAAATATTAGAGAAACAATAGATATCGAAAAAACAAAACAAAGATACTGTGCTGAACAAAAAATTTGGTCCAGGTTAAGAAGAAATAAAGTACAGGACATATGTTTTATAAACTCTGGGCATTTTAAGTCTAGATAGCACTAAAGAAATGCAAATGATTATGTAGTTATATGAGTCTAAACCAAAGTTTTACTCCTGAAGATGGTGGCATAAGAACACCAAAACATGTAGAATGTTTTTTAGAGCTGATCCCTGTTTTAATAAATTATTTATTGTGTAATTATTTAAGCATTGTACTCCTTTTAATTGTGTGTGTGTGTGTGTGTATATATATATATATATATATATATATATATGTGTGTGTGTGTGTGTTGCACAAGTGTCATTTTAAATTATTTTAAATCCTAAAATACTCATTAATTAGTAGATAATACAGGCTATTAATTAGTAGATAAAAAACAGTCTGGCTGTTCAGAAGCTGTACTGAGCACTAGGAAATAACATATAATTCCATGAATTAAAGATTAACTGTACAGTACATAACTCTGCAACATTTTTATATAACAGCAACATAGTCTAAGTAATGTAATTATACAAGGCATGTGTTAATGTACAATTTAAGGAGTCAACTTGATGCTGTGTTTTAAACTATACAAGAAGTTATCTACTGATTGCTTATATTGTTGTTTTTTTCCGTTGGCTAGTAAAAATTTGTACTGCTCATTTAGCTGTCAATCAATAGGAATAACCTTGGAATTAAAAGTTTAGGTGTAGACTTGGCAAAAAAAAACAACTGAGGTTTGTAAAATGGAGTGTCTAACATTGTCTTCTTATACAAGAGTTCATGACAATGCAAAACTTTATAATGTTTAGCATCTCAACCAATATTAAATTACACTTGTGTTACCAGTATTTGTTAATACATAATCACTCTCAAAGCTTGCCTGATCATTTACATCTAAAACAGAGTGCCAAAGTAACACCCACATAAGAGAAAATATCGCGAGTCCTGTATAATGAATATTGACATGACCAGCATCCCATATTCAAATAAAACTTTTCAATGATCACCACCAACCTTTCAAAGATTCAGGATCTGGCTTCTTCAGATCCTCTTCATCTAACAACTGATCTGAGTCAATTAATTCCACATCTTCATCCAGTGTATCGTCTGCAGACAGAGTCCAAATCTTGGAAGTATTTTCATCTGATTTACTTCTACCTGACATAGATAAAAAAGAACACAGAGGAGTTTTGTATGATATCAAAATCTTATTTAACCTCTCTGTACCTCCTGATCAACAGATAATTTTGTTGTTAGAAAAATCTTCCAGTAAATGAAATTTTGATAGGATGTTAAATACATATTCAGTGCACTAGATATTTCTTTTGATATATATTGATGCACTTTTCTGGACTAGCTTTTATTTCTCGTTTATTCTCTAGGTAGATTATGTTTGAAGAAATAAAAACATTTACAAGGAAGCAACTATTGAAAGTTAATATTTTTAATTTAGAATACTTAATTCAAAATTAGTATTAAATTAAATATATCAAGATAGTTTGATATTATATGAACAATTAAAATAATTTGATTGGTTAGAAAAAAACATACATATAACTGAAATTTAGTAATAATACTAAAATCAATACAAATTTTGACATCCATCAATATCTACATATTAATCATGAAGCTCTCATTCAAAACCATGTTGTATTTCATGAAATTCACAAATCCCAAGAAAGTGTATGTTTAAAATAATTCAAAACAAAAAGACTCATAGATAAAGCACATACACATAAACACACATATGCACAGTATTAAAAATAAATTATGAAACCAGTGAATGAAATGGGTATAAAGGCAAATATTATGTGATTTCTCTCCCCCCCCCCCCACACACACACTCCACTGTACAGTCACGTTGATAGTTTACATTGAGATTGATTCTTTGCCTAACTAATCAGCATGCCTATAAAAGTACAGACAGTCATATTATTTCCAGAAATAGTGTGGTAAATGCACCTATTGCTTCCAAGACACAAATGTCATATCACAAATATGTAGAAATCAAATTTTGGTCGGTGAAGAGTGCTCTTTGGAGATGAATCCAAATTAAAATTGTGTGCTAACAATCAATGTTTGTTCAGTCACAGAGAAAAAAAAACAGTGTCAATGTACGACATCTATAGTGTGGGTTACATCTCAGCCAATGATTTGGGAAATTTCCACAAAACTGATAGCAGCCTGACTGTTAACAGGTACAATCAGATTATTACTGATCATGTGATTCCTTCTTGAGCTAGACCTGTTGGGCAGAGATACATCTTCTTGCAAGACAGCAGGTTTGTTTTGTTTGTAAGATCACACAAAGCTACATGAGGGCTATCTATGATAGCCATCCCTAATTTAGCAGTGAAAGACTAGAGGGAGGGCAACTAGTCACCACCACCAACTCTTGGGCTACTCTTTTACCAATGAATAGTAGGATTGACAGTTACATTATAATGCCCCCATAGCTGGAAGGGCAAGCATGTTTGGTGGGATGGGAATTTGAACCTGCGACCAGCAGATTGCAAGTCGAGTGCCCTAACCACCTGGCCATGCCAGGCACAAGACAGTAATTCTAAATATGCAACAAATATAGTATAAAAAGAGAGAAAGAGGCTGATGGAGCTTGCAACTGTGGTTTGGCCTCTATAAACGTCCTGGTATGAATACTATTAAGGGTGTATGGGCTTAAATGGCATCTAAGAAAGTCAAATGTCAACTGCTCTGTTTAAATCAAATACTGAAACAGTGCACAACTTTTTACTTTTCTATTTTCTGTAATAATGTTTTATAGTTATGATAAATCTACCATTTATTTGCCAACTCATTGTTTGTGATTCTTGTATATATATGTATCACCAGTACATTTTTATACATATTTCCATTATTGTGTGTGTGTGTATACACACACACAGATTCAGTTTTCTAAACATTTCACATCTGCTTGGTTTTAATCTTATTACTTTCAAATGCCCTTTAGATCCTACTTAATGAAATGACAGTCCATCCACCACAGCAAGAGAACATAGTATAAGCAACCAATCAAGTTACAATAACATAATGCAGTTAGCTCAAGCAGGTCTTATGAATTATTTTCTCATTTATAATTTTTATATAACCTAACAAGTTTTTGATATTTACATTTTAGTAATTTTGGTTAAAACAATGCATAACAATAAGTCAACTGCCTAGCTCTATTTCAATGTATTGTGTCAAAGCCTCCTACAACAGAACCTATACCCCAGAAAAAGTCCATAATTATGTTTACCACATAGAAATGGCTATTACGTCTAGATTCATCCTTATATAACTCCCAAAGAAAATATCATCAACAATCCTCTGTATTCATTCCATTCACTACTCCTTCAATGAACAGCCTTAAAATTCAGGCTTCACAAAAAAAATCTAACATCAAACATTGTATCCTTTTTAATGCATCTTTAAATTAACAAACTTTTCATCATTCTACATTTTTCTATACTACTTTCCTCAAAATAAAGCAAGAATTATTTCAAAGATGATTATAGAATTTGGAAAATATTAATTGAAACAATTAACAAATTACTTGTAAAAACTTATCTCCTTCCTGAATTGGTATGTTTACTATATTTAATGTTTCTATATCTAACTGCTTCATTTGTGCAACATTTGAATTCCTGAAAAGATTAAATACATATAGTCTCAAATCTTTGGACAAAATACTGTGGAAAATTGACAACATATTAATATACTCATCATGAGCAAAAAAATCAATTTTTGAAGGTTCACTTACGAAGTATTAAGAAAAAAAACTCACAAATAGGTGATCAGTTTTACAAAAAGGAAAGCCTAACTTCAAGTTCTCATCTCATATAACTCTTTCTGTAACTGATTTGGTTACACTTACAGTTGGTAAATTTCATTGCAATATTATTTTCAGAATCATAATGACCAATAGTTCAAAACAAATTAAGGAAAATATCCACATTTCATATTCTCTGAAAACTTTTCAATAATCCATTTCATGGTTTCTTGCAAATCTCTTTCTATCTGTTAATTTTCAAATTGAAAATATTAAGTACAGATTTCATTTTTGCATCTGCGTAGCTCAGATCATGAGGAAACTTACATGTAGCACAAGTAGGTGAACCAGCATGTACCTTGTGGTTTATACCATCACGGAGAAAAGATCACTATCAATTCTTAAACACAAGTAATTTTGCAGCTTTTTCTTTCTTTTATTTTCTCAATCTCATTACTTTGTGATGTTTAAGGGTAGCAATAGGCACATTGCATTGTCTGCTTTCAATGATAATCTGATGTTCTGTTCAGTAGAACTGTGAATTTACACAACATACAATCATACTCTGCCCTCCCCTTAATTCCTAACAAATTTGTTTGAATCTTGGGAGCTATATTTTTCAAGTGAAACACATCTAATTTTACGAACTTGCACTTTATCGCATTCTTGCATTATAAACAGTAATGTTGCAAATGTGTTCTATCAGTGGGTAGGTTCTTTTGGATTATTTGGTAAAAATAATGCCAAGTTCAGTCCATGCAACAATAATAAATTTATTTATTTCTTCCTTAATATCTGCTACAGGCTATTTTAATTTGCAGTTGTAGACCTAAGTGCACAAACATGTCAACAGAAATTTCAAAACTATTGGTAAGCATGCCTAACTCACTTGCAGAATTTCTTTGGTAATTCATTGAATAACTGATTAGATGTGATAACTGTCACTTCTACCACTGATTATTCACTGAATACTCCACAATACTATATTACTCCTTAACTGATCAACCACATTTATATCGTACTCACCTTTTATTCATTACACAATTTTTCCATGCATTCTAATAAATATCTCAATTAAAACATTGAAAATATAGCTTACAGCAGTAATAATGCCACCATTTTTTTTATCAAAATACATTTTTAGTATTTATTTAGACCCTTTTGAGCTACCTAATTAGATCTAATTTTCAAAATTACCATAAACATTAAACAAATATTCAGTGTTCATTTACCTTTCTTAGCAAAATTAAGTTTAATTGTTGATCCAACTTCAAAGTTGGGTTTTCTGGCACAAACTTCCATCAGTGAGACTGTTCCTTCTTCTATCTCAAGCTCCTTTTTTAGTTCACTTAGTTGTGAAGCAGGAAGGGGAAACTCATGTGGCTATTGTTATGGATAAACATTAAAACAGATACCTTTAGTCCTCAATTTCATAAGAGTTAAACATATATAAAATATAGGAGACAAATTGAATAGGTAATGACGAAAAAATTATTAGAAGTTTAAATCTCTCACTAAAGACAGATCAAAGAGCACATGTCACAATGTTTTACAGTATCATTTTCAAAATTTAATTTAAAACTTTATTATTAATGCATGTCAATAAAGGTGGCATAAAAATGTAGTTTACAATTCAAATTTGAATATGAAATATGTTTTAATTTCTTAATTCGAAAGAAAATGTTACAAAAAATGCTAAATATCTTTTTTTGTGTGTCACATTACATGTCCTCTTGTCTTTTTTGCTCAGTTTATATTTTATTACACCTAACATACAATGATAAGGGCTAGCTTTATGAGCTTTTAGAGGATGCAACAGCCGAGATGGACCAATAGATCCCATGTTGTCCCAAAACTTTATGTTATGTATACAGTGCCTATAGTGGTTAATAAATTAGAAACTCAGATTTTTTTTTATTAAGTTAACAACAGATATTGTCACTAAATGATGGTTAATGACACTTTTTACATTAAGAAATTTCAATGTAGAGAGAAGAAACTCATACTTTGACATTGCTTTTATTATCCTTAGCACTAGTTTCTTCATGCTATGTTGATTCTGCACAAAATCATTAATTTTCCTTTCAATTAAACATTTTATTATACAAAAAATTTATTTGGCACTAAGAAAGAATGTCCCACTATAATTTTACTAGCTTTCTAACTAAGCTATAAATAGGTTATAAAAATTCTGTTAAGTGTTCAGAGTAGAAAAATGTGATTGCAAACAATGACACTGAGGCTAAATATATGCTTATGGGCACCAAAATGAAATAAAGGTACATAAGAACCTTGTAAACAAAAAACTTTCTTTTTGTTGGTTATAAATAATCTAATATCAATGTTAGAGAGAATTACTGACATTTTCTGAAAGAAGACATGATATGGGAGGGATGTGTCATTTGGGTTTGACATCTCTTTTTCTTTTTGGGTCTCAGTAAGGCAAGAAGACTGGAGGTTCTAAAATTATATTCTGGCTTGTCAGTATCTATAATATGTGAATTTAATTACTTGAGGTCAGAAAATCAAATAAATGTAGAAATAAAATCTAAAATGGGCAATTCAGAGCACAAATGCATCATGTGACACACACAAGTAAAGAATAAGAACTTAAATATCTGCTTTTCAAAATTAAGAAATTGAAACTTTGATAATATAAAGATATTAATTATAAGCTACATTTGGATACCAAGTTTATTAACATAGACTGATAATAAAGTTTAATTAAATTTTGAATGTAACTTTGAAAAGAATGTGAAATGCACACTTTGACAAACTTATACGCATAAGGTTAATGTAAAATGATTTCTCACCTCACCAATGTCAACAAATCCCGACAGTTTCAGTGCTGATGCCAATTTTGCTGATGACCTGATTTTGTGTTCAGAGTCTAAGAAAAACACCAAAAATACTAACTTGTTCTGAACATAAGTAAATAATATATAAAAAAATACTCCTGAATATGTATATATGAACACATCTAACTGTATGGAATTATAAATAAACTACTTAGGTTTCACATTAGTACCAAACTAATAAATTAATATTTTTTTCCTAGCTGCCATACATGTTATTAAGTTGTCATCTGGAGGAAATGGTATATTTTCAATTATAATTATTGCAAATTAAAAAATATTATTAGTTCAAACAAGGCTAAATTTTGTATGCAAGATTTTGTGACACTTTCTTGCAATTTAATTTGCCTTTTTTTAAAAAAAATTATGGTGACATTTTGTAAGTTAAATATTTTTATGGGTAATTAAAAATATCAGTATTTGCCATTACAATTTTTCACAACTGGAGTAACACAACCTTTGTAAGTTCAGGAAAAAATCATGTTATCAGTAAGTCTACTTGATGAATTATGAAACTTTATTTGTACATTAGTTAAGTATACTTAATAAATTCCTTAACATTCACATGAATGAGATACCAAGCTTTTGAAGATCATTCAAACAGATCACAAATACTAACTGTGTTCAAAATCTAATTTTATGTTTCCATGTTTTTGATAAATTGTACCTTAATAGAAACAATAGATAAGAATTTTGTTGATCAAATAAGTGTACACTGAAATGTTGAACATGTGAGAAATAATTCAGTTCTATACTTATAACATTTCATTATTAGATGCTTCATCAGTTCTTGACATGTTAGTCAAACAATCATTATTGCAACTCATAGTTTGGAAAATAAACAGTTAATATAATTAACTTGTGAAAGTTAAATTGTTATTCAGGTAAGAAAGATGATGATAGGTCACGAGAAACAAAATTTTAAACAGAGCATGAAACTAAAAATGTTTTGTGTGTTAATATTTTTTAAAATTCTTGAAAAAATATTTTGATGTAGACATTTAGTTTCCCAAGATTCTTAACTACATTGCAATTTTTAAAAGAATAACCAAACCTAGACGAATCTACAAGTTTCCAGGACCTGTATAAACTTATATATATCTATATATACACCTAGCCACTTTATTAGAACTGTACCCAAATTAAAAATAATGTTAGAATTAAATTCTTCAAAACTGCCAGATGAGATGTATCATATTGCTACAAAATTGTGTTTAACTTTGGCTTGAGCTTTTTTTATTAACAAGATTGGCAAGGCCAATGAACTACCAGTGTTCCATGAGGGCATGACTGTTGGTACATGTTTAGCAGAAGTCTTAACCAGAACGATTGTGGAATTGACTGGCTGGTCTAGTCAAAGTCCTCATTGATATAGATTTATTATAAATAGCAAATTGAACAGAAGAATTCTTTTGACAAGTGAAACTACAGTTTCAAACACAACGAGACAGAGCTATATGGAAGAAACAAACATGTTTTGTTGGTCAAACTAATAGAAACCTTCAATATCAACAAAGATAATGCTACCTTCACCAGAATTACACACAGATATGCTGTAGACCTAAGTCACCAGCTAATCAGTGGTGTATGGAGTGATGTTAATTGGATTTTTAACGAACTGAATCACATGGTCTAACAAGTTATGATTCATCTTGCTTTAAGCTGATGTGTGTGCCAAGCTTCTGTTTGGAGAAATCTGTATGAAGCACTGAACCTACTTTTGTGTTCTAACAATTAAGGCAGCGAGAAACAGTGCCATGGTATGGAAGAATGTTCTTTTAGTATGAACATGGCCCATTAATTCAAATGATTAAACTATTAAACTTTGAACATTATTGCTGATCAAGTTCATCTCTACAGGTTACATTATTTATTCAAATGCTAATGGGTACTTCCAAGATGATAATCCAACCATTCACAGTACTCCCATCAGTCATAACTTATTCCAGGAGTATGTAACATTTTTCCTACCTTACACAATCACCAGACCTTAATGCTGTGAGTTGAACTACACCTCCAGAGTTGCAAGTCATATTAATGGAATTTTTTTAAAATTACATATATATATATATATATATATATATATAATGCAGATACTATACAGT